GTCAGACAGTTTTTGCCCTGAACATCCTCAGTAATTAGGTTGAGTTTTCAAATTGCAACTTTATCATTCTGCAGATCATCTATACTCATTAAAAAACACAACCCTGAAACCATCAGATGTGATTTGGGCTCCTTGAGTTCTCGTGACTAGTGTTTTCCCAATATTTCTTAAATTGAAAATAGCTGGTGCTTTCAGATTATACCAATTTTTCTTAGAAAATGGGTAAACCACTTTCTCCTTGGCTTATTTCTGCCGCCTTTCATAAGGTGCTTGTTCTTGTCCACTGCCATGGTGCTGCTCAGGAACCCAATTGTGTACATTTTAAATATTGATAGGAAATACCTAGAACTGATGTCAATATATTATATTTAGACAAATTTCAAGTTAATTTGATTAACAAATATGTGTTATGAAAATTCTGACAATCTATGAAAACTTTGAAAAGACTAAATCAATTATTTCAAATTATATCTAGCACCTCTAATAAAATAAAAGCACACAAACTATGGCCTTGAGGACTTGTAGTCATCAAGCAGCAGGAAGAAACATAAACCAGAATATGTGTGGAGGGAGGTTACACACATAAGATTGTCTCAAATACCCCAATTATGTGATACGAAGTCCAAAACCTTCTCCAGACTTCAAATTCTTAACATCTTAGGCTGTCATCTTTTCTCCATATGACCCTCTAAAGCTACACGTTATTCTTTTTTCACCCAGAATCAACCCAAATAATGCATCATTTTCCCTAGTTTCTGCACAAAAAAGTCATGAATAGCAGGAGGAAATCACAGAGAGTAACTCTACCAAACCATTTTTGTTACATGTCATAGCTCTTCCCAAACTGTTTCCTGGATATCCAAATATTTTTTCTTTATTCATGAGAACAGTTCAATCTTCAAATTTGCACAACCACTCACATTAACATTCATTCTCCACAAAACAAAGGAAGCCTAGGTTAATATAACTCATTATTCTTAGAAACCTGTTACAATTAGAAATGGATATTTTCCGCTAATGTATTACTGGTGCTCTAAGTAGGATTCACTTCAGTTTTGGCCCATCAATGGAAGCACTAGGGAGAAAGTAGACCATGCTACGAGAGCCATCAGAAAGGGCTCCCTATGAAAGATGACACTGGAGCTAAAGCCTGAAAGTTAAATTTTGAATAGATGTTCACCATAATCATAACACAGAATCACAAGATGGAAAGGTGAGGTGGGGGGGAGGGGAAAAAACATTTCAAACAGATGGAACAAAATGAACAATGACACAGAAATCCCTTTTGGCAAGAGTGTGCGTTGGTGTGTGTTATGGTGTGGCAGTATAGAGGTTCAGGAGAGAGAAAATAAAGCAAGAATGGAATGTCATTAAGGCTAGCATACTGCCATGTGTTCATAAACCCAGATGTTCCCAGGGATGTTTCTTTCATATGAAAGTCATCCATCCTGTGGGCCAGAGTAGAAAACAAATACTGAGAAGCATTATTTTGGGCATTAAGGATTTTAATCACTCAAAGACAAGTAATAGGTTTATCTTTTAGAAGGATCAATTCTGGCAGTCAAAAAAGAGTGGACCTACTTAGCAGCCTCTTGGGTACAACCCAGGGGAAAAGTGGTCAAGGCTTGTACTAAGGTACTAGTAACAGAAGAGCAATCACATTAAAGATATTTAGAGGACAGAACTGACAGACTAAGAGAGACAACAATATGAGTGTTAACCCATCCTTTAGAGCTGGCTGTGTTTAAAACCACTGAAAATATTTCAGAACAACTCTGGTCAGATACAAGTCAGAAGAGACTAGAGTGGCTGAAGGCCTTCAGGAAAGCTTAGGAGATTTTCATCTGAGCCAATGGAGATCCAAAAAACCAACACCCCGAAAGTGAGCAAATGCTTGGTTCAAGGGAAGTGCCCTATGGAAAGGGTACACCAAGTTTCTGTAGAATTTCCTCTCAGGGCTCTAAGAATCCTAAATTAATAGATATCTAGTAATCTTCAACTGCACTAAAATTAAGGTATTTCAAAGGTGTTGAATTACTCATTCAATGGGTATCCAGTTAGGCAAATTACCAACTTCCCAGACTAATGTTTCAAAGTTCAGAAGTCTTGAAGCACTCAGGTTGTCAACATGAGTGTGATTCAAAAGGCACTTGAGACAAAGGACTAAACTGTGGGTAGCCTCTAAACACTGAATTTGGAGGTATACAGGTTTATGGATCTCAGCCACTGGATTAGCTGTGGCTAAATGAAATACGATGCATTTATTGATGTATCTATTGCTGTAAGATGATGAAAATAATTTTATCAACTTCACGAGCAAAATACATATGATTTTTTCAGTATGTATTCCATTTCAAATAATAATTTTGAAATTTTTCTGTCCGTTAAAAAAACCTATTCATTATTTACTCAGGGAATAGAGTCTAGAGCCAATTTTAAATGTACAAATTACTCATGCTCTTCTGCATAGTGAGTTTATGAGGCAGTTTATTTTGTCTTTTAAAAAGAGTATTTCTCAAAAAATAAAAATAAAAAATAAATAAAAAGAGTATTTCTTATTCTTCTGTCAAAACTTAAATTTACAAATGACTAGAAGCAAAGATTATATTTTGATTACTTGTGGTAAGAATTCAAATTGAGACAACAGGCATTCGAATGTATTTTGCCTTATTTAAGCGATACTATTTCTGAATCTGTCAATTTTCTAAGAAAGAAAAATAAAACTTTTACCATATACATATTATTTTTCAGATCATACTGGAAAGTGTCCACTTTTTTAAAATTTCCAATTTTCTCTAAGACATGAAAAAATTAGGAACATGTATATAAAAAAGGACATTGTTTATAATGGTATATATGCCAAACACACCGGAAATAACAGTCTGACTCTTTCAAAAGTTTAAAGTTACTGGATTAACTTAAAATATACCTCAAAAATTAGTAAGTTAAATTACGTTCAGCTAACAAAGCAATCTGTATTTACTAAAAATATGCTATTTGCCTCAGTTCAAACATGCTTTATATCTCAATTAGGTTTCAAATTAACCACCCGCAACCTATATCTTTCTAATTTCATCCTTTATATTGTTATTGTGTGTTCTTACCAGAACTCAAATTAGATTATTTCATCCCCTTGCTTAAAAACCTTTAGATGTCCCTTAGTAATCATGTCTTTGCCACTACTCACCTGTCTTTTGCTTCTCACATAAGTCAAAAGTCAAGCCCAACTGCATTCCCATTTCTTCCTTACTTATTCACACACATCATTGGGAAAATTTTGCCCTGTCAACAAGGAACATCTCCCAGTACACCATCTTCTGGCTAATTCTTATTTGCACTATAGCAAAATAAGGTGCAAACTATGTTCTTATTTTAATTATGTGTATCTATCCAAATAAGCATTTAAGAAGACTATGTCACTAGCATGGTTGCACTTGTAAGCATGAAAATATGGCCATATCACAATTATTATATGGTCTCTAGTCTACTTCAAAACGACAGTTTCATGTTTATTAATATCAGTCAAATGGAATTCAAACTGAATTTCATTCTTAGTTTTAACTCAAGTGAACAATGTTCTTAATCCTCCAAAACTCTTTTTATAAATATTTTGGTATTGGTCTATTTTTTGGACTAGACATTATGGTCCAGTCTTCTCAATAATTAATTCATTTGCTACCATTACACAATAGGCCCAGGAAAGGTTCATCTTCAGCTAAGATGTTATTACTGCAGAAGAGCTTAGTGAATGCCTGAGTTCTCAAGCCCTGGTAGGTCTGTTTGCTGTGGAAAGGCATTTTTTCCAATGTTTCTGGGCACACTGACAACAAACAGGGGAGAGCTCCCCTTCTTTAATAAATTTTGATTGACAGTTCTCTTGTGCTGAGTGTGGTCATATGGTGCCTAGTCCTGGCTGGCTCTGTCTGAAATAATAGACCGTGTGGTTTGAAAGCCTAAGTTAAATGTTCTGCCATTTTATTATTGGCAAGAGACAGAATTTAAATGAAACGTCAATCAGGTTTCTATGTTTTCCTCTGCAGCTGCAAGCTTCAGCTAAAAATTCTCTACCCTAACTACATCATCTAGATTTTTGTGAATCGTATAATCTAAATTCAAACATTTCAATTTGCTCCAATATTTTAGGGTCCCTGATGTATAAAAAAGCTGTGGTGGCAAGTGTCACTTCTAATTCATATAAATGATATGAACTCCCTCAACAGATCTCTCTTTTCAGTTTCTATAAAATAATACCCAATTCCTAAAAGCTTATTGTTTATTAAGAAGATATATATTTGCCCTGTCCAGTGTGGCTCAGTTGGTTGGAGCACTGTCCCATACATCAAAAGGTCACGGTTTCAATTCCTGGTGAGGGCACATACCTAGGTTTTGGGTTGGGTCCCCGATTGGGGTAGGTGTGAGAGGCAACCAATCGATGTCTCTCCCTCTCTCTCTCTTCCTTCCTCTCTCTAAAAACCAATAAACATATCCTCAGCTGAAGATTTTTAAAAAAAAGATACATATTTTATTCTCACATTTTTCTATTATTGGTTCTAGTATCTAAGTTTTCTAGATGAATAATAGATGCTAATACAGTAGAGGCCAATGGATTTTTTAAATTCAACCACATTAGCTTTCTGCAATTAACATACAATTAACTTGTTTTTTGTTGTTTCTCAAAAGATTTTTTAAATTTTCAATTATAGTTCACATTCAATATTATTTTGTATTAGTTTCAGGTGTACAGCATAATGATTAGACATTCAAACGCTTTACAAAGTGGTCTCTTCAATATTTCCAGCACCCACCCAGCGCCACATATAGTTACTACAATATTATTGACTATATTCCTTATTCTGTACTTCATAGACATGTGCACATCTTAGAGCAATTTCAACATATAGAATATGCTTTTTTGTTTTCACATATTGGAAAAAAATGTTGAAATCTTTTGTGCAAATTACTGAGTTCTCTTTCTCATGAATTCTTCCCGCCAGGCGCAAGGAACCATCTTCCCAGCTCCCAATTTCAATCCCATAATGGATGCCCAGATGCTAGGGGGAGCGCTCCAAGGATTTGGTAAACCTGATTATTTCTATCATCTTTTAATAATTTTTTTTGCTTGTTTTAAGACTGTAATATGGGTATAAATAGCTGCTGGCTAACAGAAGACAGATTTTTTTTTTTTTTAAAGCTGGGTAGAAGTAGGATAAAAAGAAAATATTAGCCTAGGACAATAATCGTGAAGAGGTTTGCCTCTCTCAATTGCAAATCTGATCTTGACATGTTTTTGCCTTAAATCCTGAGATGTCTCATCATTAACTACTAAATGAAATCCCAAGCCCCCAAAAAACCTTAATCTGGAATAAAACATCCTTCTTTGCCCTTGTTTGCTTTCTGGCCTGTTTCTTTTGCTACTTCCACTTCCAGCTAAATCAAACTTCCTGCTATCCCCCCAAATTGATGTGCTTTTTCCGCAGCTCTGCAAACTGGCCCAACAATCCCCCTCCCTGGAGTGCTGTTTTCTTCTTAAATTTAATTTACATGCAAATTCTCTTCCTTCAAGATCTCCTCAAATGAGTCTTCCTCTTCAAATCCTTCACTGGGAATTCCAAACACAAGCAAATAAGCTGTAGCCTGGGCACCCTGCTTCCGCACTCCTTTGTCACTGATCTCATTGTACTTGTCTCTCTTGTCTCCCTTGGGTCCCTGAGCTCCCAGAGCATTGAGTCTGGTGTGTGGGTGTTTAGTAGATGGATGGTCGATGAGTGAAACTAGAACTGAGAAAAGGGATATATAAAGAAGGGAGGAAAATTGTTGGGTTCTTTTAAGAAAGGTTTAATCTTTAAGATATGATATGGTGCTGTTAAATATCCATATATTTTCGTTAAGTAATAGCTATTTTAAGAAGACTTCTGGTGAGCACGAAGATAAACATTGGCAACATAAAGAAAACGTTTGCATAAAACATGCAAAGCCTTTCATGAGAAAGCAGTCTCTTAACTTTAAAGACAAGGTCACCTTCATGAGAACTTGATTCACTTTGTGTTTTACTCACTAGCAGAACCCCACAGGAAAACAATAAAGGACTTTAAATGTGCTTTCTAAAGTCAACTTTAGGAGTTTGCAATGCTGTCATGTCTTTTAAAATATCAACAGTCACTAGAAAAAAAATAGATAAGATAAAAAATTACAGATTAACTTTTTATTCAGGAGAGTAATTTTTGCTTTAAAACTGTAGATCAGAGCAATCTGCTCATTGAATAAAATTTTCTTTGCTCCAGTTTCAATTTTCCTGCCACTGTAACTTTAGGGACAGAATATGGATTCAATTTGATGATTGCAACTTTTTGTCTGTCAGTGTTTTAGGCTGAAGAAATTGAGGGGGTTTTAGTTTTGATTGTAGTGTTTAGTCTAGCATGCCAGAGCACAAAGACAGCTCAAAATGCTTTAAGTTTATCCAGCCTAATGACCCTGGAAAGGAGCAACTGAAAAAGACAATTACTAATGTCTTACTTGGTGACTATGATGTTTTTCCAACTTTATTGAGATATAACTAACACATAACATTATGTCCAGTTAAGATGCACAATGTGATGATTTGATATACTTATATATCGCAAAATGATTAACACAATAAAAGTTAACACATCCTTCACCTGTCATAATTATCATTTTTGTTGTTGTTATGGTGAGACATTTAGATTTACTCTCATAGCAACTTTCAAGTATGCAGTGCAGTACTGCTAACTAAAGTCATGCTGTACATTAGATCTCTATAACTCATTCCCCTGATAACTGGAAGTTTGTACCCTTTGACCGGCATCTCCCATTTCCCCCACCTTAGTACCTGAATGTTTCTGTGAGTTCAGCTTTTTCAGATTCTACATATAAGTGATATTATTTGGTATTTGTCTTACTCTGACTCATTTCACTTCGCATAATGCCTTCAAGATTCATCCATGTTGCACAAATGGCAGGATATCTTCTTTTTTATGACTGAATAATACCTCACTGTGTGTGTGTATACATATGCATATATCACATTTTCTTTATTCATTTCTCTGGTTTTGAACACCTAAGTGATTTCCATATCTTGGCTAATGTGAATATTGCTACAATGAGCATGGGGGTACAATATCTGTACCAGAGAGTGATTTCATTTTATTTAGATAAATACCCAGAAGTAGGATTGCTCTATCACACAGAAGTTCTAATTTTAATTTTTAAAGAAACCTTTATACTGTTTTTCATAGTGGCTGTACCAATTGACATTCCCATCAACAGTACACAAGGATTCCCTTTTCACATCTCTCATCTTTTTAATAATAGCTATTCTAACAAGTGTGAGGTGATATCTTGTGCTTTTTGATTTGCATTTCCTGGATTGATGCTGAGCACCTTTTCACGTACTTCTTGGCCATTTGTGTGTCTTCTTTGGAAAAATGTCTATTTAGGCCCTTCACCTATTTTTAATTATTTGTGTTTTGCTACTGAGTTGCCTTATATATTTTAGATATTAACTCACCAGATATATGATTTGCAAATATCTTCTTCCATTTTACTGATTATTGAAATAATAGAAAAAAAAAGAGAAAACTTATTGATCTGTGCATGAAGCTGTCCAGAATATGCTAAAGTAATACACATGTTAGAAAGCTATGGAAGAGCAGACAAATATGTGAGTTCATGAGATGATAACTGCAAATGATGATAAAAAGTACATGGTCATCTTTCTTTTGAAAGTAGTGCTGGCTGGCCTGCATGTTTCAAAAGATGATACAGCACAAAAACTGTTAAACCTTCAGTGAGACAAGCCCGCAGATCAGAAAGCTGCAGAAGATATCTCCTTAAATAGTCTTTAAAAACACCTCCTAAGTTTTATACAGGAAAAGCATACGTGGAAGAGAGGATTTTCAATGCTGATGAGACTATTTTACAAGGACACTGACGAACAAATATATATAACATAATTGGCATTTCTGCTAACAAAAATGCTGTAACCACAAGGTCATAGAAACCTAACATACTATTTCCCCCAGGAGCAATAAATAGTCCAGCATTTACTAACTCAATGCTCATGGTGACACTGCAGAAAACTACCACAAATAACAAGAATCAACTGTACATCATAAAAATCTATAAATTGCTATGGTTCATTATACCAGGATTTCCTGTTAAAGCAGAAAATGAGAATTATCTAGAAATTTTTGTCCTAATGTAATTAGGCAAGAAAGAGGAAAAACATGATTCTAAAGAAGAAGTAGCTATTATTTACAAAGAATATTATATATACATATAATCTCAAAATCCAAGGTAATCAACTAAAAAGTTATTAAAAATTATGAGTTTAGCCCAGCCAGCATAGCTCAGTGGTTGCACATCAACCTATGATTCAGGAGATCTAGGTTCAATTCCTGGTGGGCTTACTCCCCAGCAGGGGGCATGCAGGAGGCAGCCAATACATGACTCTCTCATCATTCATGTTCTTATCTCTCTCTCTCCCTCTCCCTTTCTCTCTCTAATCAATAAAAGTATATTTTTAAAAAATTATGAGTTTAATATTTTTTCTGAATATAAGGTAAACATAAAATTCAGTTTCATGTTTTAATTTAAGCAATTATGTGTTTAGAAACAAAATGAAATAACTTGAAATATCAATAGAAAGGCAAAAATAAATAATTTTAACAAAATGAAGTTTCTTGTCACTTGCAAAAATTCTATAAATATTTACTAAGCCTTGTAGGGGGAAAAAAAAAAAATTGGCAGATACATCATGTTAGGGACAGAAAGACAACTCTTCTGAATTGATTCCTAAGTTTATAGTTATTTTAATTAAAAAATTTTAATAAAATTCTTCTGAAATATCTCTGGAAGGATAAATGAGCAAGAACTAGTATGAACACTTTGAAAAATAAAAAGTAATTCAGAGAGGTAGGTTGTGGGTAATCTCAACAGGGCAACAACAAAAAAATTGATATTTACATAAGCATGATGATAGTAAAAATAACAATGGATAAAACTGAAAATTCTTCTATTTATATTTTAAAATGTTAATTTTGGATTGTCCATTATGCATCTAACAGACTCCTCTAGAACTACATAAGTTCTACGTGAACTACATGAGTCCAGGGCTTTAACCAGACTAGCCCCCTGGTAGCATGTTGCTTTATGTCACTTCACTGGAGACTGCCTTTTTTCTCACAAATCATCAAGTTCAGTCTTTGGAGTTTATTCTATTCCCTTCCTCCGTTTTATGGCTTTCAGGCCATTTCCCTCACCTACATAAAACACCTCACTCCTCATTTTGTTTCTCATTGGCACAGTCAGTACCTGACTCACAGCTTTCCTATAAGCCTAAGGCCATCCAGGATGGCTTTCATTTCCAAAAATATGATCTGCTTCACATCCTAGCCTTTCAATTCATTTTTTTCCTCATCTCCATTAAATATCTCCTTTTGTCAAAGAAAGGTTGTACCACAAAGAATTGAACAGGCAAGGAAGAATTTATTCAAGTTTACTGCAGTAGGGGGTCAAGATTTTTTCAACTGAGGAGAGAGACTGAACTTAAGTTCTACAAAATAAATCAGATGAGAGTTTTTAAGCCTGGGGTGAGCTAGGTGAAATTTACTGGAGGACAGTAGGGATTGGGGCATTGGTCAATGTGATTAGGCCATCTGTATTTGTTAATTGGTACTTATGGAAGTTAGGTTTCTACCCTCCAACAGAGACTGGGAGATAGGGACTCTACCATTCTTGATGATTTTTTTTTTAATCTTCATCTGAGGATAAGTTTTTATTGATTTTTAGATGGAAAGAGAAGGAGAGAAACATCAGTGTGAGAGAGAAACATTGATCAGTTGCCTCCTGTACGTGCCCCAACTGGGGATCAAACCCACAACCTAAGTATGTGCCCTGGCTGGGACTCAAACCCACAGTCTTTTGGTGCACAGGATGATGCTCCAACCAACTGAGCCATCCACCCAGGGCATGATATTATATTTTAAAGGGATGGGTCCCAACTCCTTGAGAAAGACATTTGCAGGCTGTAAAACTGGCAAGTGACTGGGAGAAGATTTACACCTTAAAAGGATAAAGAACTTACAATTCCAAGTTTTCCAAACTAAATGCTCTCAGAAAATGGAGATCAAGGGCCTATAGTTAGGAAGAAAACTGTCTAAATTTTAGTCAAGCTAAAGGAAAGTTAGTCAAGCTATAGGAAAATGTTAAGGCCTCCTGGATCACTCTACTATGACTATAATTACAGGTAAATTTAACTAACCTAGTTGTGCATTCAGGTGTGATATCAGTTCAATGAGCTGGTATACAAGGACTAGAGGCCTCAGAGCCCAGAAGCAAAGCCTTTGTTATGCAAATCATGAGAGGTTCACACCATCCCTCAGAAGGGTGCACACCCCTTGTATAATTTCCTCCTCAATTCCTATTTCTTTCTCTAGAGGTTCTTTTTGTCTTAAAGTGTGTTCATTATAAGTCATATCTCTCCAACTGTAAAATGAGAAGATATTGTGCCCATGCAGGGAAGCCTTTTTTGGCAGGGTAGGAGAGGTGTTTAAAGAAAGACTGTATTTTACTTCTCTGTATTTTTACTGGATCTTTTTTAAAAAAATGTTTTTATTGATTTCAGAGAGAGAAAGGGAGAGAGAGATAGAAACATCAATGGTAAGAGTCATTGACTGGCTGCCTCCTGCATGCCCCCTACTGGGGATCAAGGGCATGTGCCCTGACCTGAAATAGAACAGTGATTGCCTGGTTTATAGGTCGATGCTCAACCACTGAGTCATGTCAGCTGGGCTGGGTCTTTTTTAAGGGATAAATTGTAGTAAAAGCACCAAAATAAGAAATAGGAAGAACCGTGGCTTCATCAAGTGTTCCTCTGGGATCTCCCATCTTACTTAGAATTGCTCACTGCTTTAAAGTACCATCAGGGATAAAGCTCGCACTTTGGTTTTAATCCTTAGATAATGGATTCTTCTTAACTCCAGAGTAGCGACTTTACTAATCTTCAATTATTATTCTTTCCCAGGCTGTGACAAAGACATGCTGATCGACATTCTAACTCAACGCTGCAACGCACAGAGGCTGATGATTGCAGAGGCATACCAGGGCATGTATGGCCGGGTAAGGTCTCTCCGTCCCGACCAACGTAACTTTAGGGCAAATGCCTGAAAGAAAAGGTACTCTTCTTTTCAGCCTCACAGATGACAAAGATTTCAGAAGGCACTGTGTGTCAGAAACAGTCCCTATGTCTAACATGCTTCCAGGAATACAAGAAAGAAATATCATCAAATGTACCTACGTGTGAGCTATGTTCACACTCACAGTGACTCCACCAGTCTGTTCTCAAAAATCATTCAGCTTCAAAAAGTGAAAGTTCTGCCAGCCTTATACTCCTGGTTGGTCCAATTAGGCTAAAAAATGTCGCACTGGGAATACCCGTGTCAAGCTTTAGGGAAGGCACAGAAAGAACTAATAATGATCACTAGGTCAAAAAGTAAGATCTTTTCCTGCAATTCTCCACAGGTCCTCACCTAACTCTTAACCAAAGTGAATTATCTCCTAGCTTTTCCTTTAACAGCATGCAGTTATAGAGACCATTAAAAAAGAATGGCAGTTAAAAATAGTTTAAGGCAATCAAACTCTCCATAGTGTTTTAAAGTAATCACATTCTAATTTCAAGCAAGTACCATTAAAGATTCCTTTCTTGTGTTATGCATTTAAACCACAGATTCGGAACAAAAACTCTTCAGGCCAAAAGGGCCTGAAATATCAATGACTTTGTTAACTGATCATTATCAATGAAGCTCTATCATAAAACTCTTCTGTATAGAGTTAGCCCATGTAAGTTTACCTCATCTTGAAACCTCAGTCTTTGAGCAACTATAACACATGAAATAAAGGACAGCCTTCTGTTTCAGAATGAATTAATAATCCAAAAAGCGATGACTACTAGTGAAATTAGTTGAATTAGGCCATAGAAGGAAACCAGTTATGTTGTTTTTTGTTGTTGTTTTTAATCCAGGTAAAACTATTACCTTAACTTATGTTCATATGACACCAGTGCTAGTTTTCTTTTGAAAGAAAATGTAAAAAACTATAAAAGTTGAAGCATTAGTAATCTAATATTGTTTTAATATGCATACTGTTAGAAGATAGGCCACTTTTCAGTAATTTTTTTTAACCAAGAGACTTACATACATCTTTGCTTTTTATACATTAGGTACATTTAGGTTAAAGCATTACTTTATCAATCTCTACAGTATTACACTGCAAGAGATTAAAGCAATTAAGAAATGAGGTACCTACACTTAAGGAATGTGATGTCCATTAAACAATTTATACTTAGTGGGGCACTTGCACTGTATACCAAAGGTCTCAACGTTTAACACTCACTTTTGCTAAACAATCCATACCGTGTGGAAAAGCAAGGTTCCTGCACTAAATGACATCAACTGGAAGGTAGGAACTCATGTTGGCCCCTTTCCTGTGAAAGACGCTTCTCATAAAATCAGTTATCAAGTCCTGTAAATTACTTTTCTTCTCCCATGTCTCTCTTTTTCCCTCATTTACACAGCCTTGATTCAGGCCTTCGCCATTTGGGGCCCAGACTAATGGTGAAACTCCTAGCTGGTAGCTGCTATTCCAAGTTCTTTCCCACTCTGGTCTATCCACACTGTAGCCAGAATGGTTCCAAATCTAAATTTATACTTTCCTACTTTAATCCCAGAATGTTTACCTGGTTTCTCACTAACAAATATCCTTACGTCCATGGAATAAACCCAAATGCCTGCCCAGGGCATACAAAGCCTTACTCGCTTTGCTTCTGCTCTCCATCTTCAGCCCTCTCCCTTTCCTTCATACCTCAACTGCAGCCCACAGGAACGACTTGTAGTTCTACAAACTAACCATTCCCACGCCCTACCCTTTAGTCATGGTGTTTCATCTATCTTCAATGGCCTGGTTCTCCACTCCACACGCTGCACACCCACTCATCTTCCCAGACACTGGACACTTTTCTTGACACCACTACTCCCCAGAGTGGAACAGGCTAGTTCTGCTACTGCATCCTTTACGTAACTTCCCCTTAGCACCCAATGACACACTAGTGAGCTTTTTATATATCTGTTTCCCTGTATCAGAGTCTAAACCCTTGAAAGCTAGAATGCATCTTGTTCATTCCTGGAGTTCAGCAAGAATGTCTGTGTCACATACCAAGATTAATTAATGTTTGTTGAATGACAATGTGAAGGCATAGCTAATTTCACCTCCTCCTTCCTAGAACACACAATAAGGTTTGGGCTGCTCCTGAACACCCTCTGCTCTGGGCTAAGGGCTTCCTGCTGGGCTCCCAGAGTTCCCGTGCTTTATGCCACGGTGACCTTGCCATACCGAGTTGTATGGATTTCCTGTTATCCTCACTGACTAGACTGCAATCTCCTGGAAAATCAGGGACTGGGTTATGTGTTGCAGAGCTCAGCCCAGGGTGTGACATAGAAGCAGCACTTTACTTATAGAATAAGGAAACCTCAGGAATTATATTCTGCCTATGTACTTTTTTCTTTAGAAAAAGGAAAACATCCATTTTATAGTTTAAATGAACATTCATAAATTGCTTAAATTTCTCTTTTCCCTCATTCTCTGCTCCAGCTGCTCCCAGGTTAATCTGTCTGACCTTCAGTCAGGGCTTCCTGACCTCCCCTGCTGCTCATTCACAGAATCCTTTCTTCCCTTTCACCAAGATGTATCTTCTGCTATCTTTCTCTTTCTGTGGCAACAGTTTATAGATTTCCTGTATCTTAATCACTGATATTTTTATTTTTTATTAACATGGATAATCAAGATTTGACAGAATTATTTTCTTAGCTGCTGAGTAAAGTGCAGTCCTAGGCCTGCTCCTTAAATACTCATGATTTGATATTTAACATCAGTGAAGAGCTGCTGAATTCCATCAACAGCTTTGCCTCATCCAAAGCAGAAACTGATCCCTAGACTCCAATGCAAAGCCCTGTGGAATGCCTCTGACTGACATATTCGTCAATATCATTAATGAGGTGACTCTGATCTTCCACACCAAAGGAAGTGCTATCCTATTGACAGTGCAGTGAGATGGGGGAACAGTGAATGCTCTGAAGCTGGGGAGAGGGACCATCCATACCTGATAAGTTTGGCCGGCAATGATTCCTGAAGGAGTTTAAATTCAGCACTGAAGCAATTTGTTTTCCCAGTTTTCATTTAACACAGGGATGATCTGCTCTGAAATATCCTGGCACCTAGAATGCATTAACCCCTTGGTGCTGGTTATGTAATTTAGTGCAGATGCTGACTTGCCCCACATGACACAACATGAGAACTTGCAGCAAGGTTATCTGACTCTTAATCAAATCTACCAAAGCTTCTCAATAATGCCTGTTGTTCTCAACTGAATAAACACCAGACTAAAAAGGGCAGATATCTACACTGCTAATTCCCTCACATCCTTCAAGGTTTTGCTCACTGTCAGCTACTCAAGAGGGCCTAATTGGATTCCCCCATTTAAAACTGTCACCCACCCCAAAGCCTATGCCAGTGCTCTACATCTCTTTCACCTGCTGTTTTGCTTTTCTCTATAATACTTAATGCCTTCTAACATATTTATTTACATATTATAATTAATATTTAGTTTGCCACCTCCCTCTAAAACACAAGCCCAAGGGGAAGAACCTTTGTTTTGCTCACTAATGTGTCCCCAGCATTTACAACAGTGGCAGGCACATAATTAGCATTACAGACTGAATTGTGTCCCTCGATATTTGTATGTTGAAACCCTACCCCCAACGTGACTATTTATCGATAGTGTCTTTAACGAGATGATTAAGGTTAAATGAGGTCATAAGAGTGAGACCCTAATCCAACAGAATAGGTGTCCTTATAAGAAGGGGAAAAGATACCAAGGGTACCTATACGAGGAAAGGCCACATGAGGATACAAGGCGGCCAGCTGTAAGCCAGGAATTGAGGTCTCACTAGAAACCACACTGTTGCTACCTTAACCTTGGATTTCTAGATTCTAGACTGTTAGGAAATAAATTTCTGTAGTAAATACCCAATTTGTGGAATTGTGTAATGGCAGCCCAACCAGATTAATACAGCTGTTAATCAATAATGAGCTGTGAATGCATGGAGTTCAAGTGCCCTCTTCAAATCCATCTTGTTCTCATAACTTTTTCCCCTATCACCTCTCATCTTTGTGGTTAAAAGCTAATCTTGAAGTATCAACACACCTAGGAAGTGCTGGCTAGAAAGCTAACTTACTTACTTCAGAGACCGAATTACCATGTCACTAGTACCAGTAACAGATACTGTTGTATCTTCTCTATCCTTGTTTTCAGTTTGGAAGTGATGGGGTAGATGTAGGTTTATCCTCAAAAGTTGAATTTTACTACTCTGTTTATCACAGGTCAATTTTATAATCATGGATTAAATAATTTAAAATGGTACAACTACCTTATCTTTCAAATATATCATGGGTTAAATATACGCCTTTGGGTGAAACTGGGAACGTAACCATCAAAAAAAAAAAATTTATTTTTCAAAAAGGTTTTCTATAGAGTCAAAGTTTTGTAAGTGTAGTACTCCACCACCCCCCGTGAATGCTTGCTACATCCTGAACAATTCTTTCTCTTTGAAATAACACATACAATCTGCCAGGGAGGGAGGGAGGAACATGGAGATGAAGGGAGGGAGGCGGGTGGGAAGAAAGGAGGAAGAAAGAAAACTCGATACTGCTAAAGCCAGACCAAGAGCCTTCCAAATACTCTTTAAAGTAGTTCTATAAATTTACACTCCCACATGCAATATATAATGATTCCCATTTCCTTTAAATTCTCTCTCATAAAACATTTTAGGTTTTGACCTGTTTTATGGATGTAAATGAAATTTCACTGTGGTTTTAACTTGCATTTTCCCTAATGACATGTAATGTTGAGCACCTTTTCGTAAGTTTCTTTTACATTCTGGTTCCTACTTCTTTTAAGTCAACTCTTTATATTTTCTGTGCATTTTTTTGTTCAGCAGCTTGCAATTTATTTGTTAAATTGTATTTATTTATGTAATTTGGACATTAGTCGTGCCATGTGTACACAG